AGCATCGCCGCTTGGGTCTTCGGTGGAGTGCGGTTGATTTCGTCGGCGAGAATCAGATTCGCGAAGATCGGGCCTTCCAAAAACTCGTACCGTCGCTTCTTCGATTCCAGGTCTTCCTGAATGATCTCTGTCCCGGTGATATCGCTTGGCATCAGGTCAGGGGTAAACTGAATTCGCTTGAAACTCAGGTGCAGCGATTCTGCCAACGAACTCACCAAAAGAGTCTTCGCCAGTCCGGGCACCCCTTCCAAAAGTGCATGTCCACGAGCGAACATCGCAACGAGAACTTGCTCGATTACGTCCGACTGCCCGACGATCACTTTGGCCAGTTCGTCGCGAAGTTTGCCATACGCGTTTTCGCATTCCTGGACGGCAGCGACGTCGCTTTGAGAGATTGGATCAGATGCCATAACTCAAGTGCCTCTAAATCGAAGTACGTTAATTGCGGGATGTTTGGGTCGAAAAGGGGTTAGTCGATGTTCTCGAAGTAACGTCGAAGTCGCTCTTCATATCCGGGAGGCGCCGAACGACGAACGCTGGCACGAATCGATTGCTGAACTCCGGGGGGAAGCTTAGTAAACCAAGGCTCTTTTTCGAAAGAACGCGCGGCCGGATTCGAGTTGCTCGTTCCACTTCCTCCAGGCGACTCTTGTTCAGAGCTTTCGCTACCAGGCATCGACTCAGGCGAGGTGGAAGCTTGCGAGTTTGACGGTTGATTGTTGGTCGGTTGCCCCTGCATAGCGTTTTGTGCGGTCGCATCTGCTGGGGTAGCCGATTGAGATGCGGAAGGATTGTCGAGCATGGCCGACGCAGGCGCCGCCATACCGAGTGGATCAATCGTGGCGACCTCGTTCGAGTTGGAGGGATCGCCATCGGCAATCAATTCGGGCATTTGGTCCCAAAGTGATTCCATGGCCTCCATACCAGCCAACGCTTGCGCGGTCACTTGTGGTGTAGGAGAAACCATTGAGTTCCCCATTTCGCCCGACGGCTGCTGATTGGGGCTTTCTTGGGAAGCCAGGGTACCAGATTGCGTTGGGTTGCTACTTGGCTCGGACGGAGTGCTACCCATGGGTGAGCCATCCGCAGGGCTACCGGGCTCTTGAGTGGTATCCCCCGGTTGGCCTTCTGCGTCGCTCGATGGTGCTGTTCCTTCTGCGGCAGCTTCATCACCAGAGTTGCCTTCGGCAGGCTGATTCATCTGCGACATGGGAACCGGAAGTCGCGAGGCCGTTTGTAATGCGTCCCGAACCGGTTGATTTGCGATCTGGTTTTGCTGAGCGGTGTTCGCGGCCAACTGGGTTGCTTCTCGCTGCGAATTGGCGAACTGACGCATCGATTCGGCCAGCTGAGAAGCAATTGGGTTAGGCTGAGTTTCTTGGTCTGCCGGAGCTTCGCCAGAAGCCTCGCCGGTAGTGTTGCTAGGATCTACGTCTCCAGAACTGCTTTCAGAAGGCATCGGTTGCGAGCCTTCTCCATTTTCGGGTTTGGATGGTTCTCCTTCCCCCATCGGTTGCGTGGCGTTTTCTGCAGCTTGGTTGTTTGCCATCAATTGTTCGGACAGTTCTTGGATCTTGGCGCCTGAGTTGTCGATGTTGTCGAGCAGTTGGGCGATCTGTTCCGCTGCTTGTTTGTCGGCATCGATCGGTTGGCGACGGCCTGCGAGTTCGGCGCGAGCCTGTTGAACTTGATTCTGTCGTTCTTCCGGCGTGGAAGTCGTTGGCGAAGATTGCGATTCCATGGGCGAATTCGCTGAGTTCATCGGATCTGCAGGCGAGCCAGTCTCTGCTGGCATCGGCTGGGCATTCCCTTCGTTCATTTCGCCGGACGAGCTTTCCGATGCTTCGGACATGTCCTGACTATCGGTTGCAGCATTGGAGTTCTCGGCCGACGCTTCCATCGGTG